CTACTGAAGATACCATAATTTATGACCCCAACTAGGGATTTTTATCAAATATATCATCATTTACGCCCCCGAATCCCCAAAGGTACCTTGCGGTTTCCGCTTCTTCCGCAAACAGGACGTCACGTAGCGCTCCAGCTCCCGCAACGTGGACGGCTTGAGCGTCTCGAAGTCGATCTCGATCTCGTCCGGGTTGGAGTTCTTCAGCGAGGGCTCGCGCGACTGGATGATGTGCACGACGCGGCCCAGCTTCTCGCCGGGGAGTTTATTAATGTCCAAGCTCAGCTGCCTCTTCTCCTCGTAGGACATGGGCTTGCACTTCTCCTCCTCCTCCGATTCGTAGGCCGGAGGCGGCTTGCTGTTCTTCACCGCCACGGGCTCCTTCTTGCTGCTTGGGAGCGATTAAAGAGTAGTAGAGGGTGAGTGAAAAGTGCCAAAAACTCAAGGTTTGGGTCCTAAGTGTCTCATATTCCAAATATTTCATGTCTCTAATGTCAATGCGGTCTTTTAGAAACAGCCACAATCTGTGGGATGAGGGACCAAACCAGGTGCTCAGCGAGGAGCTAAGAGTGGGAACAAGCAGGACAAGAGCCCCAAGAGCATCCACAAGGACAAAACAGCTCAGGATTTTGCTCTACTCGCTCAGCCCGTCCTTAATTCCACCTCATGGTGGTCTATCATGTCAAAAAACTCTTTATGTGCCCCAAATTTGGGGCCTCACCTGGAGGTGCTGCTGTTGCTGTTGCTCTTCTTGACCTTCTTGGTGGGCGGCTCCTTGGCTTTGCTCTTCTTGGCGTCCTCCAGCTCCTCCTTCTTTTTGTGCTTCTCCTTCTTCTTCTCCTTCTTGTCTTTCTCCTTCTTCTTTGGTTTGTTCTGCTGGGGCTGCGACAGCGCTGCAAGCTGTTCATGCACTGCTTTAAGCTGAGAGGCAGACACACAGAGATCAAGATACTTGTGCCCAGCACCTCCTCCTCGTCCACATTAACCCCCCTTCTCTCTTATATTTCTCCCATTTTTCTTTTTGTACCCTTATTAAGTCCATTTTTCCAGTTATTATGATTTTTGGGGGTATTTAAGAGTGTAGAGCAAGCTTTTTGACGAGTTTGGCACTAATTTTCCCCCTGTTCATCAAAGGAAGCTGCTTGCTCCTTGGCTTGACAGCCAACAACGTCACGAGTTGCAAGGCCAACATGGAAGTCATGCTCCATGGTGTTAACTTAGGGGATTTAGGAGCATTTTGGGGCTCCTGAACGGGTCTGAAAGGCTTGTTTTGTGAAGAATCGACACCGTGTGGCTCCGCTAGCCAATTGTGGTGGCCTGTGTAGACCTTGGAAGCCAACGGCGTTGACGCCGACGAGGCCAACGGCGTTGACGCCGACGAGGCCAACGGCGGCGCGATCCGGCACGGAAGCGTTACCTGCTCCTGGAGCTCAGCCAGTCGCTGCGCCCGCTCCTCCTCGGAGTCGTCCGAGGAGCTGTCGCTGTCCGAGGAGCTGTCGGAGCTGCTGTCGCTCGACGACGGCGGAGCCACTTTGGTCGGCGGCGGCGCCACGGCGGGCGACGAGGCCGGGATCACGGGCTCCTCGGGCTCGTCGGGCATCTTGGCAAAGCGCATCTCGAAAACGTCCTGCAAAAACACCAGGAAGGCAGAAAAAAAACATGTGAGGTTCAGATCAAGCCACAAAACACCCCTATGGTGTCACCTCAAAACTCAGGTTCACCATCGCAGTCATCGCAACGCCGATCCCTTCTTGTTGCACATCCGTTTGGAGCCTTGACTGTGTCCAAAAGGGCTTTTTTKGGGGAAAATTTAGGCTAAAACCTGCATTTTGGACCTAAGTTGGAGGCAAACAGCGCTCCGGGGGTTTTCTCCATCTCGCCCAAGTTTTATCCCGGCTGTGTCTCTTGTTGATCGTGTCCTAAGTTGGACAACGGAATGTTTGGCTGCTTATCTTGTCCTGGTGATGTATATATGTGATAAAAAAGGGACTTTTAATGTATTTAAGGTTCATGCAAGGTCCTGAAAGGGAAACCAGCAGCTTGAAGGTCCGCAAAGGGCTAAGGACACTGGCTCAAACCTGATTTTTCTGCCTCTTCCTTCGCTCCGCGCTTGATTTTCCTCTTCGAGAAGCGAATCCAAGCCAGAGCGGTGCAAATCCTGAAGATCTCTTTCCAGCAGGATAGTCCGTGGGAAAGTGGGAGCTTTTTTGGGAAAGGCTCCCCCGCAAAAAATGAGATTTTGGAGGGATTATTTCCAAAGCTGAAGTCAAAATTGTTTCCAAAACGGTGGGATAAAACATTTGTTTTTCCTCAGTGGGTGGAAAAGAAGCCAGGGGATTCCGAACTCCAATATGCTGGATAAAACTTTGCTGATTTTAGGAAATACCATGGMTAAAAATGACATGTTGAAGCCCGTTTTCTTGGAATTTGGGCTCCTGGGCCATGCTGAGGGGGTGGAAGAGATGATCCGAGCAAAGGCGAGCRCTTAGAACAACAACTTCCAAAGGGAAATCCATAAAAATTGGTGCTTCCAATGGAGCAAAAAGATGTTTGCCCAGTCTTTATATCTTAAATTCCTGCAAAATCCTTAAATTCTCCTCTGCAGCTTCTGGGTTTCTCTTCCCAACGACCAACAGACTTGTCCTGATTTGGGCAAATTCCCAATTTATCCTCAGAGCTTCTTCCCATTGGAGGTGACCGCGAGGCCAAGTTGCTTGGAAATTTGAGGGTTTTGGGAGAAAATCTGGGGTTTTCTCCCATTTCTCCTCTGCAAATGGGTGTCTTGAGTGGTTACAAAGCCAATTCAGGGTGATGAATCTTGAGTTTAGTCTTGGTTTTGAGTCAAATGTCCTCAAATTCGTCCCCGTGTCCTCAAATTCACCCGTTTTTCCCGGCTGGCKGGTGTTTTCTCATGTAAATCAGCTCCTCTCCTTCTCTTTTCCGAAGGTGAGAAGGAAAATCCCGCTGGTTTATTCCGCTCTCAAAGCCTTGGCATTCAAAGAGCCCTTGGGCTCCACTTCCCTCTTTCCTCGAGCCCGGAAAAGGCTTGGAAAAGGCCTGGAAAACCTCTTGGCAGCCCTTAGGGATTCGGCTCTCGCGGAATTCCCTAAAATCCCGAGCCGACCGCTGCGGAGTGAATTCCCAGTGCCACCTGCAGCTGGGTTGCAGGCACAAACCGGGCGGATTCAGCCCATTCCATCCTTCCAATTCCAAAAAACGGTGATTTTTGGTCACTTACCTACTGTTTTGGTGGTTTTTAGGAGCATTTTGAGCCTCCAGTTTTTTTCCACTGGGATACTGAGTTGGGAATATCCCGCATTCGCTCACCTGCAGCTTGCGGGCCATGGCGACCACCTCGTGGTCGGCGGGGTTGTATTTGTAGCAGTTGGAGAACATGAGCCGCACGTCGCCGGCAAATTCCTGAGCATCCCTGTATTCCCGGTTCTCCAGCTTGGACTGGGAAGGGGAAAAAAAGGAAGGAAAAATCCCCGTTATTAACGGCACAAAGKAAATAATCCGTCATTGGCTGACTGTGGTCCCCATGGAGTTGCGGACCGTCGTGTGTCCGTGTTCCTCCCTCTGCCATGGAGGGATTTATGTTGGCTAAAGGAAGGGTTTTAAGCAGTTTATGGAATTATGGAATCTCATCCTTAAGGATGAGTCCATGGGGAGGTCGGGAGGGGACTACAGGCACTTCAGGGTGTTTTTGTGTCACCCCGGAGAGCATCGGAGTGACACCAATGGATGGGCTYTTGGTCAAGAGAGCCCGAAACCCAATTCCATGGGGTCAATCCCGAGCAGAGCTGGAGCTTCCAAGAGGGAATGATCAGCAGGATAAGATGGTTCCTCTCGGCTGGAATCGCTTCCTCCAATGGGAGCTCCCAGTTGGCCGTGCTCCTTTTGGGAATGTGGGAAGACACTGRGAAAGGAGGGTAGGACAAGGGTTGTCCGTGGGACATGATCCGCCCGTTCCCGCGTCCGCCCTAATCCGAGCCTAAGCCGCTCCCACGCTCCCTGGCCACGGTGTCGGCTAGAAAAGGAGGCCAGGAGCTGGGAACAAGGGCCGGGAATCAAGGAAAACAGGACAAGAAAACGCGGAGCCGGGCCCGGCGAGGGGGGGACCTCAGGCGCCAAGCAATGGATGTGTGTTTTAAGTGAGAAAAGCAACTTTTCCATTGATTTTTTCCACTAAAAATACTTAAGCCCAGCTCAAACTCTTCTCTAGAGGGGACAGGATTGATGGGGACACGTCAGAAGCACGAGGGGGTTATTTGAAAAGAGCGGAAAATGTTTGGTTTTAAATAAAATCCCTCTGTCTGGTGTTAATTCTGGGCTCACTGAGGCCATCTCCTGGGCCGGGGATGTGTGGAGAAATTTAGGCAGTAATGGAAAATTTCCATAAAAAGGCTTTTCTAAGTGGCTCTCTGGAGAGATAGCTGGATTGCTTTTTTTTCCAAAAAAACATCCCGATAAGAACACGGAAAAGAGACCCCATGTAGGAGGAACCCTAGTTGGGAAGCAAGAGGTTGGCCAGTATGGGAGAAGGTGGAAGCAGGAGGTTGGCCAGTATGGGAGAAGGTGGAAGCAGGAGGTTGGCCAGCATGGGAGAAGGTGGAAGCAGGAGGTTGGCCAG